CTCGTTGAGGCAGTCGGTGGTTAAGCATTCGTAACACATGTCCGATCTCTTACTTCACAGAGAAGACACTTCATTATCCAGTGAAAATAAGAAGATACTTAGATATTTATTCAACTCTCAGTGTTAAGACAACCAAAAGTTTTTGATGAAATAGTGGTCTTATAACAAACTCAAAACTCTGGAGCATAGTCAATAAAAGCATACAACTAACAAACATAGATTTCCAACCTAAAGAGCATAATGTGAAGTCAGACTAATATTGGATCAAAGTCAATGTGTTGTGTTGCCTAAATGATCTTTAAAGCATACACTGAGAACAAGTCTACTTTCAAGCAAATAATGTTTCCCATTTTTGAAACCATGAATCTTTCAATGTTAGAACACCATTAGAAACCTGGAAGCACTGGCCGGCCATTTCGTCCCGGTATGTGACTCATCAGTGGCAGTGAGCATCCACGACTCCTGTGCCCCGCAGGATTCGAACCCAGGACCTTCGGTCTTGTGTGCGAACGCCTAAACTCTGGACCACTCAGCCGCTAACTAACGGTGTAAATGTCTAACTTGATCAAGTTCACAGAGTTGCGTAACCTCATACACAGTCTTCGGTAGTTACTGTCTACACCCGAACAGGTTGAACTTCACTGATCACGTCTTCCTACTAGAGATCGGAGAAGATTCCTCACGGAGCTAGTCACTAGTGTGCACAAGTAATTGCATTACGGGGTTGTTGTGAAGATTGTTAAGTTACACAACCCCGTAATGCAAATAATGTTTCATCAAATAATCTGTTAAAACACAGTTGACAAGTAATGAACCTCAGTGATTTCGGTAACATTTGACCAGTCAACAGTAACGAACATCAAACTACAGTATACTATGATACAGCGTGTATCAACTATGCAAGAAAGGAAAATAGGTGAAAAGATGTTCAAAAGTAAAGAATTCCTTAGGAAGAATGATAAACCTTTTACAAAAATATCATGATTGACTACTGTTGTATGCATAGGGAACTAATTTCGCCAAACGTCAATGAATGTTTACCTACTTTAAGTTAGGACAACCTGAGAACCATTCATTTCTGAAACCGAAGCAGATTATTTCATCAAACTAGTCGATTTAAATCGTCAAAAAAAGTGAACTTGTTTTGACACATTTGAAATCATGAATTGACTAATGTTAGATAACCATCAAAACCCTGGAAGCACTTGATGACCGTTTCGTCCTGGTATGGGACTCGTCAGCAGTGTACACCCACGAATCCTGAACCTCACAGGATTCGAACTCGAACCTAACCTCAGGACCACTGAGCCGTCATCCGACGGTGTTATTGTCTAACTCTGATTGATCTAGGCATTTTGCATGACCTCATCCATTAGCCTTTGGTAGTTACTGTCTACATCCGACAGAGTTGAACTGCACTAGTCACACCTTCTCACTAGAACTCCAACAATTTCCTCACGAATGTAGTCACTGGTAAGCACATTTTACAATTTTTCAATTAGGATTATGGAGATGATTGTTTTTACACATTTTCGAAATCATCAATCAATCATTCATGCATGCATGCGTACTGCTGATGAGTCCCATATCAGGACGAAACGGCCATCTTTTAGTGCTTCCCGGTTTCTAATTGAATTTTTTCAACATTCCTTACTTAAAGATTGAATAAATATCATGTACAAATCATTTTTGAAATCAGTTTTTTTTTTACAAAAAATGTTACAGACACATATAATAATAGTTCGTCCTAAACAATTTTTCGTTGGCTATAAAAAATATCCCTATACCTTCTTTTAATCAATCTAATCAAATCAATAATTTCATTCAAAAATGTATCGACTGTTTCACTAAAATATCCATAACATTTTATGTAATCTACATTTTGCAGAAAATTAGAAAAACTAATAATAATCATAATAATTTCCCCAGGATATTTTGGTTTTCACTCTCACTCTCTCTCTCTATACAACACAACTACAATTTCACTAAATTTAGCTTAGTTTTTCAATCGACCAGCAAAAAAAACCCCTAATCGCCTTGCCTATTTGTGTTGGCCTTCAATTTTTTTGTTTTTTTAGAAGAAAATCCAATGTAAGCAGTAGTAGTCCTGAATTTTGGACAAGTCTATCTAATCGCAATGACCTTGACTAATACTCATTGTTCATTGGTCGGTTAATGCTATAACTACTATCTCTTGTTATAATGGGTAAGGAAAGAAATTTTTCAACATATTATTATTACTAACTAAACATAAGATTAGATGATAACAAATATTTTTGCGAATTAGTAGTCTTTCATCATAATATATATAAAAATCACATTTTAAATATAGGAAGAAAGGAGATTGAATTTAGGCCTTCATTGTTATGATTACTAGTTTTTGTGTGCATGAAATTCTTACAGAATTTTCTACATTTATTTATCTTGAGATTTTTAAAGAGTTGTAGTGTTTAGTAACTTAAGATACGGTTGATTAAGCAAAGAAATTTTGTATAATTGAAATTATCAGAAATATGTATTTACATAATGTCAAAACAGAGTTCTACTGTATGGAGCGGAAACTTGGAGAACTACGAAAGGCATCATTCAGAAGATACAAGTGTTTATTAACAGTTGTCTTAGCAAAATACTTCGTATTCGTTGGCCAGACAACATCAGCAACAACTTACTGTGGGAGAGAACAAACCAGATTCCTTCAGTGGAGGAGGAAATCAGGAAGAAGTGGTGGAAGTGGATAGGACACACATTACGAAAAGCACCTAACTACGTCACAAGACAAGTCCTCACATGGAACCCTCAAGGTGAAAGGAAAAGAGGAAGGCCAAGGAACACATTTAGCCGAGAAACAGAGAAAGATATGAGCGGAATGAACAAACATTGGACAGAACTGGAGAGGGAAGCCCAGGACAGAGTTGGTTGGAGAAAACTGGTAGGCGGTGGGTAACAGGCATAAGTAAGTAATTAAATGAATGTTTCATTCACTACTACTGCCCTGATACGCGTTTATTATAACAATGAGAAGCATGAATATCTGATGTGAAAATTTAATAGAATTTTTACTGTAGTTTAGAATAATTCTGAATTATAGTGTAGTGCGAGCTACTTATAAGTAGTATATGACGTGAGTGTCAACGTAATGTCTAGCAGCAGAAGATGGGGGAAGATCAAGAAAGGAAGAGTTCGGAACACAATGGAATTTGTATGAAACGAACGCATGAATTCTACATTATTTATCTTGAGATTTAAAGAGTTCAATGCATTTGTTTTTTTCTAACTAAGTGTTTCTAACTTAGTTTCAAAGTAGGAGTAAGTAACTGCAGATACGGTTGATTAAATAAAGAAAGTTTTAAATAAGTTTATCAGAAATATGTATTTACATAACAGAAATAAATGTTTCATTCATTACTATTGCCCTGATATGCGTTTATTATAACAATGAGAAACAAAATGCTGAGATTAGAACAAGACTTTTGGTTCTACGGGATCAAGACTCGAATGTCACATTCAGAACGTTGACAAATGAGTGTAAACAACTACAAAGTAATCAGACATGACAACATGTTGATTGAACAGGTAAATCCTAATTTAACCAGCAGTAGTATATCAATGCTATTACTAGGTTAAAAGTCCATAAGCCGAAAAAATCTTGTAACAAACCAACGACGGCATGTTGGTTATGTGGTGATTTGCATTACGTACGGTTTCTGTCCATTTAAAAAACATAAATGTGCAATAAACGTCGACAGATCAAAAGGGGGATGCAATCAAACACAGAGATGCAAACAACGACAGGTCATAGGTCAACAGCAATCAATCAAGATCGAGGTTAGCAGAATAAGCTACAGGTCAAACGCGTGGAGAAATTCGAATACTTCACCTCTTCTATCTGAAGTTTGCGTTGTTGATGATGTTGTTCAGAAGAAGAACAATGATGAAAGCTCCACAACCAAAACAGCATCCAGCTCAGAGAACCAAACACTACTACCACAATGAAAATCTGTTGTGAAAATTTAATAAAATTTTTATCCCAGTTTACAATAATTCTCAATTATAGTATTCAGGGAGAGATGATTGTTTCTGGACATTGAAATCATGAATGAATCAGTTTGAGACTATGGTTAGAAACCTGGAAGTACTGGACAAGCGTTCAGTCCTGGTATGGAGCTGATTGGTAGTGTGCATCTATGAACCTAGGACCTTTGGTCTTGCGCGCGAACGTTTAACCTTTGGAACATTGAGGCAGCGCAAGAATCTTTAAATTGATCAGAGTTAGACACCAACATTATCGAATGCTGGCTCATTGATTCAGAGATTATGCGTCCACGAACAAGGCCGAAGAAGTCGTTGGTGCTCACTGTTGACGAGTCCCATATTGGGACGAAACGACTGTCTAGTACTATAATGATGTCAAGACTTATGACAAATCTTTTCAAAACACATAAAAATTAGAAAAAACCTTTGATTATAGGGTTGTGGAGAGTGTATTGAGTTTCGTTAGCCGTTTCATTCTAGTTTGGGACTCATCAGCAGTGGATGCTCACTGTCAGTGATGATTGTCATACTAGAACGAAATGGTCGTCCAGTGTTTGCAGGTTTCTAATGGTTGTTTTACAAATAAAATGAATAGGCAATAAAATGTAGCTTAGAATAAAAGTTTCTTGAAAACCACCTTCATCTAATTAACAAAGTCAAACTGTGGTTTTACACTGAAATCATGAATCGATCAACGTGTTAAACCACCATTAGAAACCTGGAAGCACTGGACGGCTTTTTCATCCGAGTATGACACTCATCAGCACCTGCGACTCCTGCTACTCACAGGAATCGAACCCAAGACCTTTGATCTTCCACGCCAACGTTTAACCTCTGAACCAATGAGCCAACTAGCATCCAACAATGTTCATATCTAGGTGTATGTTACAAAAATACCACCGAAAAATTTCACAAACATCTATACATATCATTTATAGTAATGTAAAAATAACAACTCATTCACTTACAGGTACAGTTTCTGATCTTAATGTTGGCGCCATACTAACTACAGGACTTGAAGCTGTTCTTTCTAACAAAGGATTACCACGTTTAGTTGTTTGGTTTATTCGAGACATTGGTGTATTTGCACTGTCCATAATGTTTATACATGAACGATCAGATGTGAGGAATTCAGATCTGAAAAATTAATTTTTAATTAAAAAATCAATAAAGTCTACAATTTAATTAATTAATTAATTAATTAATTAGTTAGTTAGACGTGATCAGTGATGTTCAACCCTGTCGGGTGTAGACAGTAACTACCAAAGACTAATGGATGAGGTCGAGCAAAATGTCTAGATCAATCAGTGTTAGACATTAACACTGTTGGATGCCAACGGCCCAGGGGTCCTGAGGTTAGGCTGTAGTGCCTCCACGTATATGCCAGTTCGCTTACATCTCGAATTTGGTTAAGCCCTTTCGATTAATTTATTTAACCAAGACATCGGCGTAGCAACTATTCGTTCTTATTATTGTCTGGTTTGTATGAGCTCACATGGCGTGTTCCACTTGCCATTTGACCTTTTCAACTATTCGTCGCTTTTTATTCATGTGTGTGCATGCCTATCTCGTTGATCATATGTCTGTCTTATATTTTGTCTGACTATATATTCTTAGTCATATTCTATCTCTTTGAGTTGGCTCATCAGCCTTCTCCAACGCGTCTCACCCATTCATTCACTTCCTTCGCCCATTTGTTCGCATTGTAATCCTAGGAGTTGGCTCAACAGCCTTCTCCAATTCACGTCGCTTCTTTCGTTTTATTCACTGGTTCTCCGATTCGCTTTTTGGTGTGTCCCAAATAAATGTATTCAACACTTTGTGTTCACCTTCTGATTTATAAACGGTCAGACGCTAGTTAATAACGATTGTCTGGACGAGATAATTACCGAATTAATTACAAAGATTAAGAACACGTCGAAATCGACACACTACAAGGCGTTCACGCACCAGACCGAAGGTCTGGAGTTCGAATCCTGTGAGGTGTAGGAGTCGTGGATACGCACTGGCACTGATGAGTCCCATACCAGGATGAAACTGTCATAGAGTGCTTCCAGGTTTCTAATGGTAGTTTAACTATGATTGATTTATTGATGATTTCAAATGTGTAAATTACTTACTTACTTACTTATCAGTGATAAATAGTGATGGGTAATAGAATCTACAAAGTGTATTTCACGTATTTAGCTTAATGTAAACCAGCATCTCAGAGTGGATGTCCACTGTAGGACTCGAACCCAGGCCCTCTTCACTTAGCTAGTGAATTAAGATAGCCATTCGCTTATGTAAGGTGGTGAAGATGATGTTTAGGAATGCAATTGATCATCAATCTTCGTTGACAAATGTTTATCCTGTACGGATTGCTTCTATCCATCTCTGCAAATAATTCTTGTAACCTAATAGCAAATAACAGATAGACAGACAGACAGACAGATACAACACAGGACTTTGTACGTACGTACATCAGTTCAGGTTGCCATACAGCATCAGCACAGAGACGCAACTGTCAGTTCAAATTACATAGTGGTAGCAATAGTAGAAGCATTAGCAGTAATGAAGAAGATTAGGTTTCCGAAAAAGTTATTCAAGAAGTATGATACAGTGAAATAAATGTGAGAAAAGAAAGATAAATGTGATGAGAAATTGAGAAGTTTGGAATTTGAGTAAAGGCAAAGAATGGATGGACCTGTGCCGATGAAAATAATTTTGAGGTATGTCATTCAAAGTATTTAACCATTGAGTACAATCGTCTCGCGGACCCCAACCAGGTAGTCTGAACCTATTGACACGTTTCAGTGCACTTGTTCATGAAGTCATGGATTTGTCCGATGTTTCAGTTTGGACGCCCCCAAACATTCTTTCAGCCTACGTCTTTACAGACAACATCGCTTGTCAAGGTAATGAACATTCACTGCTGCACCAGTTTGCTTGCTATCCTTATCTGGTACCTGTGTCCTGACAACAACAATGCTTATTCGATTGTCGCAGGATATACAAGCAATGTTTCGAAAACACCTATGACCAAATACCAGTAGCCTACAAAAACCCTCTACTCTTACTGGTCATGTTTCACACCCGTTAAGTGGGACGGTGCGAACAACTGCTCAGTTAACTCGTCCTTAGGTGAGCAAACGAATATCTTACCTACGCCATAAGTGACGCGAGTCGGCAAAAGCCAGTCAAGCCTTTTGTATCCGCGCTGGAGTTTTGTCACACACCAAGCTATCAGCACTGATGAAAATCCCTAGATAAATCAGGCAGTCAACAGGCTCGACTGCTTCGCTGCTTATCGGTGGTCCACGTTCCGATGTGAGACAATCCTGAAGCAAAATTTTGCATTTCGAGGGAGAGAACAGCATCATAAACATGCTTGCCTTGTTGTTTAAGGTGGTCAGAAGACTGCAATTTTCAGCGTCATCACCTAATGCAACTATGTCATTGGCATACTCTAACTAAACAAGCATGTCTCGTGATAGAAGGTCAATTCCTAAAATGTCAAACGATGACAGTGTAGTATGTAGAAGATGGAAAAACCTGACTGGCACCACTTTAAGTAATCATTTCCGATGGCAGTGCGCCATAACCTCCTGTAGTGAATGAGAACACAGGTGAGGGCAACCGAATTGTATTGAGCGAAAATTACAGAGTTACTCAGTAAAATAGGAAAACCATATCGTAAATCGTTCATTTGCAAAATATCAGTTCATCATATTGAACTGGACTGTTCCTGTTGCCAAACATCAATCCATTGTCACTATTCATGCGTTTCATACAAATTCCATTGTTTTCTAACTCTTCCTTTCTTGATCTTCTCCCCATATTATGCTACCAGACTTTACATTGACACTCACGTTATATACTACTTATAAGTAGTTCGCACCGCAGCACCACACTACTACTGTGCGGCCTCTGCATGTGTGTTGATGTTCTAGGACCTGATGAAGCGTAAATATATGATCTATGCACCCACGTCCATTAATGACATCAGCCTAGTTTTCTGGGGTCTGCTCTTCATGATCTATAGTTATGTGTCGAAGAGTTACTGAAGCCAGTATTTTAGACAATGTATTAGTTAAACTGATTCCTCTTTCATTGTCTTAAGAGGACTTCCATCCTTTTCTATCGACCAGAACAATCAGTGATTGAGATCAGTCAGATGAGATTACGTTCAATACCCGAATTAAACTTAAGATCTCAGTCAATCTAACTGCTATGGCCGCACAACCATCCTTTAAATTCACTAGGGTTAGCCTGTCAGGACTTGATGCTCTCCTTCGCTTCAGATTTCCTATAGCGTTTTCAACTTCACAAAGATTCGGAGCGCTTACGTCGACTTGTCATTCAGGATGACTGGAGATCATGGGTAACCGAAGTGTGGCTGAAGGCCATTTAGACTGATGCCTAAAATTTTGTGCTAATCTGTTTGAAAATTTTCCGATTTAAAATGAGTCATTATGAATTTAAGTACTGCAAATAATTACATTCTTTGGTGCTGTACAGATGAGCCAGTACAATACTTGTTGACTTTTACGTTGGATAACATAAGTTAGAATCACTGAGCATATTAATAATGTTTGAAAGCTATAATTTGCAAACTTGTTGAATACATATCAACAATGTAAGTTATTCAGTTAGTCAAACACAAAAACATTCACTGAACACAAATAACTGAATAACAATCGTCGATTTGAAAGTTGAAACATTTCGATAGTTTATATCTTCAGCCAGTCAGTCAGTTACAACGTAGGACTTCGTACGTATGTACGTACGTACGTCAGTTCAGGTTGCCATACCACATTAGTATACAGACATAACTGTCAGTTCAAATCCCATAGTGGTCGAGATAGTAGAAGAATTAGCGGTAATGGAGGGTATAAAGGATGGAAGATATTGTTTAAGAAGTATAGCTCAGTGAAATAACTTTAGAAAGGGAAAGATAGAGATTATGAGGAATTCAGAAGGTTAGAATTTGAGAGAACATAAAGAGTGGATGCACTTGCGCCATTGCAAAAAGTTTCGAACCATGTCATTCAAGGTCTCTAACCATCGAATACTGTTGTCTCGCGGACCCTAACCAGACAGCCTACATCTACCAACATGACTCAGTCCACTTGTCAGTGACTTCATGTATTTGTACCATGTTTTGGTCTGGCCACCCCTAGCTTTCTTCTAACGTACTCCTACACCACAAAACATAGCTTGTCACGGTAGTCGGTGGTTAGGCATACGTAAATCATGTCCCAACCACCTCAAATGATGAAGTTCCAATACTTTATCTACTGATTTGCCATCCCTTCCTAATACTCGTTTCCTAATGACAGAACTGCTTAATCGGTTGTTCCAGGATAACACAAGCAATGCTCTGGAGACACCTATGATCGAACACAAACAAACTACGAATATCTTCTACTTTGACAGGCCATGCTCAGTACACTCGTCCTCTGGTAAGCAAATGGATATCTCGCCTACGTCATGAGTGACACAAGTTGGCTCAAGCCAATCGAGTATTCTGTAACCAGTTTAGATCATGGTTACATAATATTGATGAGTTATTAAAATTGTTTCAATCTTTCTTGATTACTAGTGTTTTCTTACTGAACAGAGTTAATAGTGAATAGAAAAAATATTCAAACACTACAGTTTTCATCATGTGATCACCAACTTGATAATTCATGTTTTTTTAGCGAGACTATAGTTGTAAATTATCTGGAACTCCAAACAACTTTCAAACAAAACCAAAATCAGGATTTTCAATACAACTGTCAAGACAGTTCTAATGAATAGAGCGGAAACTTGGCGTACTACCAAAGGCATCATCCACAAGATGCAAGTGTTTATGAACAGTTGTCTACGCAAAATACTTCGGATTCGTTGGCCAGACACCATCAGCAACAACGTACTGTGGGAGTGAACAAACCAGATTCCAGTGGATGAGGAAATCAGGAAGAAGCGGTGGAAGTGGATAGGACACACACTACGAAAAAGCACCTAACTGCGTCGCGAGACAAGCCCTTATATGGAACCCTCAAGGCAAAAAGAAAAGAGGAACTGCAAGGAACACATTACGCCGAGAAATAGAGAAAGATATGAGAAGAATGAACAAACATTGGACAGAACTGTAGAGGGAAGCCCAGGACAGAGTTGGTTGGAGAAAACTGGTAGACGGCCTATGCTCCATTGGGGGTAACAGGCGTGAGTAAGTAAGTAAAATAGTTGGTGAACGAACCAGTCACACCTAAGATACAATGTCGTGTATTTTGGAACAATATTTATGCATCCATATAATCAGTTCGTGAAGAAAACCTCCTAACTCTAATCCTTAATCTTGACATCCAACTCTGAATTGGATTGTTAGTTCACTGTGTTTGTTAATAAACCTCTTTTAACCTTAATATGCAGATAAATATCCTCAAGGTCACTTCTAAGTATCGCCTAAAGGTCACCTATAAATTATAACCTCATCGACATTACATTAGGTCGATTTGTTTTCAAATCAAATTGAATAACTTTTAAAATAAGTGATAAATTGAATATCAATTAGGAGAAAATAAAACGCTGTGCATGTATTTGTGTAAAATCGTTCGAAAATAAATCACATAAAACATATTTTTGGTTTATAATGCCTCTAACCTAATAACAGTAATAGTGAAGTAATACTGTGCAATTTGTACAAATCCTAAAATTAAACCAAATCGTTGTACTTCTAGACTAGATATCAATGCAACCAATCAAATAGAAAATGACTGTTTCTTTCTGTGATGAAGTTTCATTCTCTGAGCTGAGGATGGGTTTTTTGTGGTTGTGGAGAATTTCATCAGTGTTGGTCTTTCAAACACCATCATAATTAGCACAAACTTTTTAGATAGAAGAAATGAAGTATTTAAATTTCTCCACGCAGTATGATTCGTATCAGCTTATCTTGTTGACCTTGACATTGATTGGTTCTCCCTGATCTTTAATCGATCGTCGTTTGCACCTTTATTTTGAATGTGTACCCTTCACAAACCAACGGATCATCTTACCATGCAGAAAAGATATATAGGTCAGTCTGGTAAGATTACGGAAGATGTTTGGAAAAGGTGTAGTACACAAACCAACAGAATCATTTCAATCAATCTTATGTAAACACCAAAGGACAAAATGACAAATGAAGAAAAAACCAAATATCATCTACAAAATAAATTGTTCAGACTATGAAAAACACTACATAGGATAAAGTGGACATTCCCCTTCAGCTTCATCTGTGTGAACAGCAATTAGCAGTCAAACGCCATGACAGTTCTTATATCAATACATACCGATAATCATGGACAGACATTCGATTGGAGCAATGTTGAAATACTTGATAGAGGGAGTACAAAGTACAGACAGACAGACAGATACTGTGGTGCTGTGGTGCGAACTACTTATAAGTAGTATATAACGTGAGTGTCAACGTAAAGTCTGGCAGCAGCAAAAGATGGGGGGAAGATCAAGAAAGGAAGAGTTAGAAGAACACAATGGAATTTGTATGAAACGCATGAATAGTGACAATGGATTGATGTTTGGCAACAGGAACAGTCCAGTTCGATATGATGAACTGATATTTTGCAAATGAACGATTTACGATATGGTTTTCCGATTTTACTGAGTAACTCTGTAATTTTCGTTAAGTACAATTCGGTTGCCCTCACCTGTGTTCTCATTCACTACAATACAATGCAGAACTTCGTACGTAAACACATCAGTTCAGGTTGCCATACCATATCAGCACAGAGACGCAACTTTTACTTCAAATCCAAGAGCGATAGCGATAATAGAAGTATTAGCAGTAGTGGAGAAGATTAGGGTTTGAAGGTATGATTTGTGAAGAATAATTCAGTGAGATAAATTTAGAAGGAGAAAGATAGAGATTATGAGGAATTCAGAAGGTTAGAATTTGAGAGAACACAAAGAGTGGATGCACCTGTGCCATTGCAAACGATTCTGAGTCATGTCATTCAAGGTCTCTATCCATTGGTAACTTACGTCTCGCGAACCCTAACCAGGCAGCTTACATCTACCAACATGACTCAATCCACTTGTCAGTGACTTTATGGATTTGTCCCATGTTTTGGTTTGGCCGCCCCTAACTTTCTTCCAACGTACTCCTACACCACACAAACCATAGCTCGTCGCGGCAGTTTCGTAGAACCTTGACACTCATGTCGACCAATCAAAATAAAGGTACAGACAATTACAAGTTTAAGGTCAAGCACAACCAATCCCGATTGAGGCTAACAGAACAAGCTGCTTTCTATGAGTCATCATACTACATGAAGAAATTCGAATACTTTTTCACTTCTTCACTCTGAAGTTTGTACTAACAATGGAGTTGTTCAGAAGAAGAACATTGAAAGCTTCACAACTAGCTCAAAGAATGAAACTCCATCACACAATCATCTAACTGACCTACAACATTTTCTCCTTCACTGCATTATTCTAACTGTTACACAACATTCAATAAAACAATTATAAACAACATATATCAATTACCTTTCTAAAATCTTCTTACGTAATTGTAAAACAACTTTATCACGTGATGATAATTCATTGTCTACAGATGATTGTAAATTATTACTGCTGCTACTACTAATATTATTGTTATTACTAGTACACTTAACTGTGGATTGATTTACCAAGTTCAATGTACAATTTTGTTGTGATTGTGATTGTGGTTGTGATTGTTGATGCTGAAAATTATTTGTAGCTGCTTTCATTGCCAAAATATTCGCTGCTGATGTAACCGATGTCGGTGTAGTATTATTATTCAATGCTGCAGTTGACAAACTTTGTACATTATTTAAACTATTATTACTATTATTATTATACCATGGTATTTGCCGATAATTTGTTGTATTATATCCAGTGGCTAAACTTAATGGCGCCGATTTTGTCCGACTAATTAAACCCATCGATTGATTACGATAATAATAATAGTGAGGATGGGGATGCTGATGATGTTGAGAAGGAAATGATTTATTCAATTGTACAGATTGATTGAATGTTGAATTTGTTTCAGTTGACGTATTTGTACCATTATTGTTATTGTTATTATTTGATTCAATGATCAATGATGTGGAATGATTTGTTTGAATGGTTGAATTGTTTGTTTGGTTAATATTTAAATTAGTACTATTATTATTATTAGTAGTATTGCTATTTCTTTGTAATAACGATAAAGATGATGTTGAATGATATGGTGTTGTTGTTGTCGTAGTAGTTAAATTCGGCAAACTTGTACAGAATAATCCATTGATCGTTGAACCGAACAACATACAATCGTTTAAAATATGATTTGTATTTTCAAATGAATTTAGCGCGCGTGAATTTAAATTATCATTGTTCGTATTAGTATTAGTATTATTATTCTTTTCTAGTAATTCTTGATCATTGATCAATTCGTTTGTTTTAATTAATTCCGTTAGTATAATATCATGAAATGTTTTCGATAATGGTATTATGGATTTTTTCTCTGATTTCGATAATTGGTCATCCGAATCTATCGATGACAAATTACTACTATGAGTAGTAGTAGTGGTATGATTTAAATCTTGTAATTGTTTCAATGGTTTCTTATTGATTGATTTCTGTATTAAATTAGCATGTTGAAATGCTGAACTCAATTGTGGCCATAATCCAACGATGGACAATGGATCACTGGATACATTCATTGCAGCCGCGGCAGCAGCGGCGGCGGCAGCGGCTACTGCAGCCGCCGCCGCCGTATTCATCCCGAAATGTTGTTGATGATGCACAACATGGTGATGATGATGATGATGACGACGTTCTGGTTGTTTATAACGTGATTTTTGTACACCACCTGAACCAGTGCGCATTTTTAAACTTGGCTCTGAGACAGTTTTACGCAAATTCTCATCGATTAACTTGTGCGGCGGTTGTTGATATTGTTGAGGATGTTGATGCTGATGCTGATGATGGTCGATGGTTGTTAGATCATGTTGTGTCATAAAATTGTCACATAAACTTGTCTCCATCACAGTGTGTGTGTGTACATCATTTTCAAAATCCATATAATTTGTTTCAGTTTCATGATTTGAAAGTGAATGTTGTATTTGATGTGATGTATTGGATTTCTTACTACTACTAATAGTTGGTAAAGAGGTGACAGAGGATGGTTGATTTACTAAAGAGGACTGATGATTTTCAATATCGATCGTTAGTGGAGTGATATCATTACTACTATCAGTAGTATCATGATTACAGCTTGGATGATGACGTGTCGTTGGTTTACCTGTTAAATCATCATTGACGACATAACTGTTCGTGATGGACTGTTCATGGTGTTGATCAATATTCTTAGTAAGTTGGGCAAAATCTTTATCAGTAGTAATATGAGTAGTATGTTGTTGATTAACTCCAATATTCAATAATGTTGTTGTATCATTTGAATTAATGCCTTGTTCTTTACTTTTACGTTTATTTAAAACACAATTTTTTAAACGTTCACGAACTAGTGATGATGTTAAATTTGCGGTATTTGATTGTAACACTGTATTACTATTATTGAGATCCGAATGCATTTTGATTGTCATTATAAATATTTTTCAAAAAATTACAAAAAAAAATCTATCCCATTTGTTTAAATTAAATGATTATTTCAATTTAAAAATTATCCTTATGATTATTATTGTTACGGTTATTTGACTTTGGATATCAGTCAGTCAGTAAATAAATAAATTAGTTGTTAGATTGATTGATTTAAACAAATCGAAACTGTTCAATGATCAATGTTACACTTTTTGTTTTTATTGTTATAGTTGTGGTTGTTGTTATTTAAATCAACTAAGATTCAGATAATATTTAGTGTACTTTTTTAAACCAAGTCGATTGTCGTTGTAGCGAATCAATCATGTCAATTATGTTAACTTATTATTGAGAAGGTCTTGTTACCAAAAATGCAGTAGTTTCGGTGTGTGTGTGTGTGTGTGTGTGTGTGTGAATGTACACAGACATATATTGGCCAGAAAGAATGAGTTTATCCATCAGTGGAGAATTGCGTAGGTTGATCATATCATTCCCCTTTTCTGTATGCGTTTCTGTATTTCACGGAGAGAGAGAGGGAGAAGGCGGGAGACAGAGAGCTGGATTCGTTCATGGTCGATATTGGTACAATAATCCTATTATGTCATGAATCTTAATGCTAATAATAACGCATATATATATATATATATATATATATATATATATATATATATTATCCAACTGTAAAGATTTATTATCAGTCGTCTTCTGTTGTGTGTCTGTCTATTCAGAAGGAAGTATTGCTTGGTAGATAGACAGACAGAAAGGGAGAGAGGGCGAAAAACACTGAACTAAGGGAAATGAATGTGGACAAATTGGATAATGCTAGACATAACTGACAAACAGGCCAGAGAGAGAGAGGAAGAGAGAGTGGGATAGATAGCCAGTGAGCGAGAGAGAGTGAGGCCTTCACACTGTTGGTGGTTGCATGAATTTATCACATGGTCTATTTATCAGATTGGACATTGAACAACAGCAATCATGATAATATATCGATAACTGAGAGTAAGTCTAATTTAAGACAGCAACTACTACTACTACTACTACTACTACTACTACTGCTACTACTACTACTATTACTACTACTCATATTATCAGACGGAAACATTGATGTTGAAGAATTTCAGTAAAACATCAAAAGGGTATTATTTTTATTGCGATTTTATCGGGAAAAAGAAACATTGAAAATTGATCAGATAGCTTCGGTCTTAAATCTCTTAATCATGGCTAGCTAGCATCAATGTGAATGGTATGTGGTATACAGGGAAAGTGTAATTTTAACAATCAGCACAAGAAATTCAACTTAGTTGGTTGGTGAATGACACACATGAAAAATAATGATTTAGATCAATGTTAGGTCACCTGTGGTGCGCACTACTTATAAGTAGTATATGACTCGAGTGAAAACGTAATGTCTGACAGCAGAAGATGGGGGAAGATCAACAAGGAAGGAAGAGTGGGAACACAATGGAATTTGTATGAAACGCATGAATAATGACAATGGATTGATGTTTTGCAACAGGAACAGTCCATTTCGATATGATGAACTGATATTTTGCAATTTAACGATTTACGATATGGTTTTCCGATTTTACTGAGTAACTCTGTAATTTTCGTTTAATACAATTCGGTTGCCCCACCTGTGTTCTCGTTCACTACAACATTATATCATCAGACTAGTTCATTTAAATCGTCAAAGAAATTGACTTTTTCTTACACATTTGAAATCATGAACTGACCAATGTTAGAATACCATTAAAACCGTGGAAGCACTGGACGACCGTTTCGTCCTGGTATGGGACTCATCAGTGGCAGTGCGCATCCTCAACTCCTGAACAGTCCAGTTCGATATGATGGATTGATATTTTTCAAATGAACGATTTACGATATGCTTTTCCGATTTTACCGAGTAACTCTGTAATTTGAGATAAATACAATTCGGTTGCCCTCACCAGTGTTCTCCTTCACTACAACCAATGAAAACCTGTGTGGTGTGTGATATGATACCCACTAAATGGCTCATAAGTAGGATTGAGACGAGCGTCACCTCGACGTTTCCACCAGAGAGATTGAAGTGTACAGCTTGATCAAAGGAATTTGGAAGATGAGAAGAGAAGTGAGAGAATACATTCAGCAACCTCCTTAGATTACTGAAGATGTAAATAGATGTTTGAACAGTGTGCGCATGTATATTTTATATTTCCCTATTCAGTCTTGACTTGTGCGTGCATTACACTGTAGTGAGTCATTCAATGTCTAGCTCACATGACCTGTCTCACTTGTCTTTTTACCTTGTCACTTATTGGTCGCTTGTATTCATGTTTATGCATGCCTACTCGCTTACATGTCTGTCTTACTTTTGTCTGACTATAAATTCCTAGTCATGCTTTATCTCATAGAGTAGTTGGCTCACTAGCCTTCTCCACATCGCTTCATCGCCTATTCACTCTCTTGCCTGCTTTCCGGCGCTCATATGACGATTTTAACTTATAGCGCTTGTAGTCTGCTGGTCTATTTGTGGTGTGTCAAAAATGAACGTATTCAACACTTTGTGTTCACCTTTTGATTTACAAACCGTCACACACTAGCTAGTAACGATTGTCTGGACGAGCTAATCACGAAAATTAAGAACACGTCGAAATCGGCCACCACAAATCTGGTGAACTCGCCGTTGAATCTAACATACTCATTACGAACTGGTTAGCCCGACGTTTCTAGGATTAATTTGATGATTCCGGTGACAAATCAAATTCAACCAACCAGTTGGTAATCTCGAGGACAAATCGAACAGAACCACTAACTGGAAATCCCGACGCCGTATATCGACAAAGCAACTCAGAAACTTAATGAATTCGCTGAACGAATCAAAGAACCAGACTCGATATACAACACAGACAACGCACTCTCTCATCAGACAAAAGTATGACAGACATGTAAGCGAGTACGCATGCACGAACATGAATACAAGCGACGAATAAGTGAAAAGGTAAAAAGACAATTGGGACAAGTCATATGAGCTAGACATTGAATGACTCACTACAACACCTAGGAGCACTGGACGGTCATTCCCAATGGTAGTCAGTAAAAAACCGGTCGATTCAAAATTTCCATGGACAACCTAGCACAACCCTATACAGATTTTAGATGTCTTAAATTTCGTGAGGGCGCGGATCGGCAAAACAAGGGCTGCATTTCTACAATTGAAAAATATCTGGAACTCCAAACAACTTTCAATCAAAACCAAAATCAGGATATTCAATACAAATGTCAACACAGTTCTACTGTATGGAGCGGAAACTTGGATAACTACCAAAGCCATCATCCAGATGATGGTGATGATTAACGCAAAATACTTCGGATTCGTTGGCCAGATACCATCAGTAACAACGTACTGTGGGAGATAACAAATCAGATTCCAGCGAAGTTGGAAATCAGGAAGAAGTGGTGGAAGTGGATAGGATACACACTACGAAAAGCACCGAACTGCATCACGGAACAAGCCCTCACATGGAACCCTCAAGGCAAAAGGCAAAGAGGAAGGCCAAGGAACACATTACACCGAGAAATAGAGAAAGATATGAGAGGACTGAACAAACTTTGGACAGGACTGGAAAGGGAAGCTCATGACAGAGTTGGTTGGAGAAAACTGGTCGGCGGCCTATGCTCCATTGTGGGTAACAGGCATAAGTAAGTAAGTAAGTAAGTAAGTAGATTTCGTGATGTGTATACAATCTTAAGATATTGTCGAAGAGGACAAAACTAACGATGATGTTAATTAAAGTTTAAAATGATGGAAATGCATTTATCTGATACGTTATTAGTCTACTTTTGGTTTTAGAAGGATACATTGCGATTCGATTACAACTTTCAGATTATTTAATCATTTGATCAGAGAAATGAGAAGACATATTTTGTGAGATAATGTTGGGGATGTTAGATCCCCAAAATTCGCTTGATAAATGCCTTATTTTGGTTTTCACGTTTGCCAGCATGAGCTGATCAGTTGACCTTGAGATTTCAATCCCCACTAGGAAAATCCATGGCTGTGATTGGCTGCTGTGTATTTTAGTGTGCTATTTTCTTAACTGTCTCAAGTACGTTTCTATGTAGTATAAATAAACGAGAGTTGTATGCTTGATTGTACTGAGATTGCTTTGTGTTTGTAGAATATACTTTCTACGCTTACAAAGTCTTTTTACTTCAGCCTCGGATTCAAGGTAGCCTATCTGGACGCTGGTAAAAGTCTCGTTTGCGTTTATCGACCAAGGTAAACTCGTAATAGCCTCAAGCATACTTAGTGACGAGCGTAACAGATAGTACCATTTCGTGCTTTCTCGTCAGTCACATACAAGCAACATGTTATTCGTGTAAATACAGTTTTGAAAATTACAGAGTTACTCAGTAAAATAGGAAAACCATATCGTAAATCGTTAATTTGCAAAATATCAGTCCATCATATCGAACTGGACTGTTGTTCCTGTTGCAAAACATCAATCCATTGTCACTATTCATGCGTTTCATACAAATTCCATTGTGTTCCGAACTCTTCCTTTCTTGATCTTCCCCCATTTTCTGCTGCTGCCAGACATTACGTTTTCACTCACGTCATATACTACTTATAAGTAGCTCACAGCACAGTACTATCTCACAAAATATGTCTTCTCATTTCTCTGTTCAAATTTATCAAACGGAACCACTTTTTTGAATATGTAATCTGTTACGATATTCATCCGATATCCTAAGAGAATTGTTGGCCTATTCTTATTGGTTAATTCCTACTGGTCAATTTTGTGGTCGTCCTGGTAGATATCAATGTCACCTGCTCCAATGTAGTTTCTTCTTGGTTGTCCTGACTATCAATGTCACTTCAAATGTTGCTTCCTATTGGTCGTCTTAACTGTCAATGTCACAGATTTCGAAGGTGTTTCCTATTCGACCAAAATGTACAAATACGCATTATCTGTAACATTTTATGACCACGACCAGGACCAGGGCTCGG